CAAGTCCTGTATCGGCGAAGCCCCGTTGTTGGGCTTCACGATCTGTTGGGCCTTTTCCGTGTAACAGAGTCACACATGGAGAGAAATAATTGCACGACAAGTGAGAGAAACGTTATAGCGAGCGTAGGAGTAGTATTGTTTAATTACAGAGGCCTGCTTCCCTGTTCCCTGCTGCGGTGCGGCCTCTTGTGCATTGAACACCTCAGTCTGTACGGCTCAAGACACATATGTCTCACAAAGCCTATGGCGCGGCCTCATGAGATTGACGGCAGTGCTCTGTACTCTTGAATAGTCCATCAACCCGTGTTTTGTCCTGATCAAAGAGATTGCAGTAAATCTCAGTGCCGCAAAATTGTTCCAAGATAGGTCGAAACTTAAAATTGGGATTAGGGTGCGTGTCGTCGCAGAGCTTGAACTGTCTGGGGTTGGCTTTCCATTCTCCGTCTTGCCACGGAAGCTTCGGCTCGGTAGCTGGTCGAGCCTCGTGACTATCGAAGCATTCCCTCGCCTTTTGAAGGCTCAGTTTTTTGCATTCTTCTTCCGTGCCGCCGGGCCCCGATTTCCAGGGCTGTAGTTCAGCGGCCAGGCTCAGCGCAAAGCCAGTAGCAGCGACAATAAAAGAGTACTTCATTGTTGATAGGGGGGTGCGGAACCGGAGCAAGTAATAAGAAGGTGGTTATGAGAGCTTAGTGTGGTAGAGTATTGGCAATATAGCTCGTGAAGTTATTTCTCAAGACCAAAACTAATACAGAGGAAATAGCACTATTTATATTCCAACCAGGTAAACGACATCCATCCGAAACTATATGCTTTAAGGTATAAATCCGCAGTACATAGGAAAGGGGGTCGAGTTGTCATGCGATTATTCCCTACATATCAACGCATTAATACAGCATACCTAGTAAATATATAAAGAAGACCAAGGACAAGTTCATGCAGTTAGCTAATGCATGAACATGATTCCCCACTACAATGATCCATGACGACGTTTCGTGGGCAGAGAAAGGGGGGTCGCCAGATGTTTCCAAGACTCGTTAATGCAGGTCGCTAATATATCATGTTCCTGAATCGGTCAACTAGCTTTTAGGTAGAGAAGTCAATGCCAGCTAGCTGCCTGAGACTTCACCCCCATCTAGAGTTTTGTAGCCCAGCAGCTAGAATTATCATGCAAGAGTCTGCATTGACGCAAAACAGGCACTGGCCTCGGTGTTGGAACATCTACACATGATGCAAATCGCAAAACATTACTCTCTAGAACACGAGAGTGTTGACTCCTCATGCAAGATCAATGATTCCCAGACACCAGCATCTTGTCATAATTGATCACTGCCTGCAACAACGCTTGAGCTCCGATGGCACTGCACGCCCAGTCAGCAACCGATCGCGTGTCCCTGCACAACAAGAAAAAAAAACGTACCAATCTTCAGGACTGCAATATTCCTCAGGATGATGGCTCACGCCATCTTTGCAAGGAACAAATATCATGGTCGTGGGAACCTTTTTGCTCGTATACACGCTGTCGTGTCCGGCTCCGCTTGTCAATGGACTCCATCCGTCGGGCCCGACGATGTCATTAGCCGCCATTTCAACAGCCTTGATGCAGTCCCTGTCGAATTTTGTGGCTTCCGAGTCCGTATCAAGCGACCACTTGAACTTGACGCCCTTGCCATCCTCCTTGCTGATGGAATCAAACGATGCAAGACACTCCTTGAGCACCTGGGCGACTACATGATCCTCTGGGTGCCGGATGTCCAGGGAGAAGGTGGCGGTCGAAGCAATCGTGTTGGTGGATGAGTTTGGCGGAATCTTCACCACACCCGTGGACGCCAGCGCGCCGTGCTTCTTTGCAATAGCATTGGAAGAAGCGATCATTTTCGCCGTGGCCAACAACGGGTCGCTCCGCATGTCCAACGGCGTCGTTCCCGTATGGGCATCTCGGCCCGTCACAGACACGGTCAACCACTTGTACGCCTGCGCTCCCTGCACAACCCCGATTCTTTTACCAGTTCGTTCTAGGATAGGTCCCTGCTCAATGTGTAGCTCAAAGTGGGCTGTGAGCGGATATCCCGTTGCCGCGTCACTTGAGCACTCGACGCTCCCGACGTAGCCGTGCCGCACAAGTTCCGAGTGCATGGTGGCAGATGGATCAAAGATGTCGGCCAAGCTCCACGCCTTCTCGATGGGGATCTTGCCCGCCCAGACTCCGGATGACACCATGGAATTGGGAAATCTGGCACCCTCCTCACTGTCAATGGTTAGCGAATAACTCGTCAGTTTCGATCGACGGCAGTGGAAGGATACTTTGTCCAATTAATCGCGCCAACGTCGTAATTTGTCGTATAGTCGGCGTCTTTCAAAGTTCGGAGCACCTCGACGGCTGCGAGGACGCCCAAAATCCCGTCGTACCGACCGCCACGCGGCTGGGTGTCCAGATGACTTCCCATTGCAATCATCGGGGCGCCAGTTTTGGACGATCCCGCCCTCTTGGCGAATTGGTTTCCCATCTTATCGACGGTCAATTGGCAATCCAGCTTGGCAGTCTCTTGGGCAAACCATTGCCTGACGCGGGCATCATCATCAGACAGAGCAAGCCGCGACATGCCGGTATCGTTGGGGCCACTGTGAGTGTTGGAAAAATGTCATGAGCGTGACGAAATGGTATTTGTATCTCGGAAGCAAAAGTCGACTTACTCTCCATATCTGTTAGCCGCTCCCCATTGACACGTGTAGTGAAGAGTTTCGTTGAGTCTATCGGCATTGATCTTCAGACTCTGAAGTCGCGAGGTGGAGAAGAAGCGCATCGGCCTCGTCAGGAGCGCCGAGCGAGAAGCATGGCCAAGACGCCATGAAGTATTCATCGTCATTGCCAGAGAAAGTGATTTACATGCAACTAAAGAGAATGACGAAATGGATTCGAGGAATTTGACGCTGGCGATGTCGCGGACGCGAAGATGTTTGAGAAAACTGTATGGCTGATGCCCCGCACATGTTGCAGCCTCGAATTTTGAAAAAACACGCCCTCTATCTACAACATGAAGATTCGCCCTCTGAACACACGCTCGTGCGACAGTGGTATTTGGGCCGCAATTGAACAGACATTTTGGACGACAGAAGGGCCACAGATGAGCAGGTATTGAAAGCGACAAATCAGACCGTGCGACACCTTCAGGTCGCCCACATGCTTGAGATGCATCATCAATATTCCTCGACAAAGGAGCCAATTAGACTTGTGCCACCACGACAAGCCCCCCATAAAAGAGTCATTGGGCCATGTGAAACATTCAAATTGCCGATCTAACTGCAACAGACAAGTCGACGCCTGGAAACCGCAGCCGAATGATGCCTTTTCTCATAGGACCGCAAGATTACCTTGGTGTCTGCTTCGCTTTTTTGAGAATACCCAACACAGCCGAATCGTGTTCAGCTGAGGAATTAAAAATAGTAACAAGGTGGCACCAAAAGGATGCCAGCGGGGTTTGTTCATCCAGGACAGACCATGCACGAAATCCAATTGCTGCCAACACACAAGCAGTCCGGGCATATAATACGAATCGGGTTCTCAGTCACCGGCATTCAAGGCGCGCCAATCAGGCAGCGGAGCAGAAACCGACGTGGACCAAAGTTCTGGCTTGGACAATGTGTATCGTTTTCTTCAATCCCAACATGGGGAACTATCAGTACATGGGCAGTAGCCATAAAGAGAACCCGCATTGTGACGCTCCAGAGGAACAGCATTAATATGCCCTCCCATCACCGCAGATGATATTATCAATGTCCACACAGGTTCAGGGCGTTCTTTTTTTTATTGCTTCCTTGCTCCTTCCACTCCGTCGGTTATTTCCCATCGCCAATTCGCCGAAATAGATCGCTCATGATGAATTAAAATGTCGTACATCGCAAGACCTTGCGCTGTTTATGCGCCACCCACGAGGATCTGGTTGATGGGGATGTGGACTACAAGCGCACGGAGGTTAGTGTACGGCCATGGGGGAAAGGGAGAAACAGCGACATGTCGAGGCAGGACCGCATACTCAGCTTGACGACATATCCTACAACACCCATAATCACGAAACCAGTGCCAACAGCCTGGCAGATCTTGGCAAACTCCTTCTTGTCGGCTGTGTCAAGAGACAATGTTAGCATCAGTAGACGTGGTCGCGTGCGAGAAAGGAGAGGCATCGGCGCGAGGGTCGGGGCGTACGCTTCTGGCACTTGTTCATGAATTGGACGCCATCCTTCAAAAACTGGCTGGGGGTCTCGACAAGCTCCTGAATCTGATCGGACATGCTGGCGGATTGTACGGTGCGTGGGACAATTGGGGGGGAGCAAGAAAGGAATAGGAATAGAAATATGAAATGTTGACGGCGACAGCTGGATGAGGAACTCGACGATTGGGCAGACGAATGTGCGCCCAGTGTCAAGCTGTCCTCAATTTCGTGCACATGTGGTGCCGGGGCCGGATAAACTATCGCCGGGACCTGATCCAGGGGCGCGAGCAGGGGAGCGATGTGGGGGAAGAAGACGTGGCCACAGCATGCACCATGATGCACAACGACCAGACCACTTCAATGTTGTCATCAGCGTCTTTCGATATCAATACTCCGTATGCTGGTTGCCGCCGTCTTCTTGAACATGGCAGTTTGCTTGCAAGCCCACTGCGTATCGATAGTCCCGCTCGTAACCCTAACCCTCAACCCTGCATGACCCTCCTCATCTCAAGTGTCGACATGGAGCATGTTCCAAGACGTCTTCCAAGGAGATAACATCACGCTGAGCGGTATATGGCAACCTCCTACCAGACATTCTTACATGACAGCCTCTCACACGTGCAAAATACAACGTGACGTCAGAAATGCTGACAGCTTTACACAAAATGGTCCGAAAACTCCCCGCCACTAGCCTAGCTGCTCATCCTCAAAACGGCATCTTGGCTCTCCCACCATGGTCACAAAACATCACAACGTAGCATATGCCCTCGTCCTCATCCTCAGCTCAGCACAATGACGCTCCAACTCCCTGCCCGCAAATCATTCGAGGCATCCAAGGGCCACACATACTCGTACATTCACCTTCGCCCCAAGACCGCAGCCAAACCGACCCTTCTCTTCCTCCATGGCTTCCCATCACATATACCCGACTGGACGCGACATATCGACCACTTCGCCTCCCTTGGCTACGGAATCCTCGCCTGCGACCTCCTCGGCTTCGGGCAGAGCAGCAAGCCCACAGATCTGTCCAGCTACCGCCTAAAGCCAATGGCCGACGAACTCTGCCAGCTACTAGACGCAGCCGGCATCAAAGTCGCCATTGGCATCGGACACGACATCGGCTGCACGATTCTCTCCCGCCTCTCGGCCTACCACCCAGACAGATTCACCGCCCTCGTCTTTCTCGCAGTCGGGCCACCGAAGCTAGGCACCCCCTTCGACCTCGACTTGATCAACGACATGACCAGGCGGGCCACGGGGTTCGAGCTACTGGGCTACATCAACTGGCTGAGCGACCGTGACGACGGCAAAACGCAGGCAATGCTCGAAAAGAACGCCGCGTCGGCCATGAGCCTGCTGTTTGCCCGTGACCGCCAAGCATGGAACGAGTGGTTCCACCCGCTGCACAAGATGCGGCAGTTTGTGACTGAAGACAGACGCGTGCCCATCGGGGAATGGTACACGCACGACTTGCAGCAGCTGCACCTGGAGGCATTCCATAGAGAGGGCGGGTATACCGGCTCTACGCGATGGTATCGCATGTGGCGGGACAACTTGTTTGTGCCCGATGAGAAGGATTTTGAAGAGCTGCTTCTGTCACGCCCGACGCTGCTTGTCGCGCCGTCCGGGGCAGAACAACAAGAGCAAATGCTGGCTGCGTGGGCGCCGCATCTGACTGTTCACTATGTCGATTCGGGACACTGGGTCCATCTAGAAAGGGCCGCGGAGACGAATGCCGCCATAGAGAGGTTCTTGGATACTCTTAGTAGTGGTGCACCAAGTTTATCCTGACTGCCTGTAGGGTAGCGTCGGCCCTGGCGTCCATTACAACTCCATCCTAGGCATTGTCTGCTGTGGCCATATTCCGTATTGCGTAGGATATAATTGCTTTTCGATCTTGACTTGATGAAATGGGTTGAATACATACAGGAGCGACTTGTGGTTGTGATTGCTGACTTGTTCATCGTGGATAAAACTTTGTTTTTCGTGAAATGAGCGCATTTATATTAAAAAGCATAAACAAATGCGAAAATTAAAACATTCCTTCCACTCTAGCTACACAATCGTTGTTTCTATTTGTCTGACTACACAATCTTATACTATACTCGCAACTTATATTATTCCTAGGATTGCATTCGCACTTCAAACACCAAGTGCAGCGACAACATTCGACAGAGAGCGAACCTGACATGAATTATTCTCACTTTTCAATTTAATACCGTCCAAGCTAGCCTACTCAACAAGCCGATCAAACAAACACGCACACACACACCCCTTCTCACAGCGCCCCGACCAGCAACCGAATCACCACCAACACATGCTCCTAGGCCGGGAAATGGCAAACAGCCTCAATGTTGTTCCCAACGGGATCCAGCACAAACGCCCCATAGTAATTGGGATGATAATCCGGTCTCAGCCCCGGCGCGCCGTTATCCTTTGCACCAACCCCAACGGCCGCCGCGTGAAAAGCATCAACCGTCGCGCGGTCTACACCCACGCGTCAGCACCATCTACCTGCTTCGGCCAAGTGGGCCAAGAAACCTACCCTCTGCCCTGAAAGCAATATGCGACCCCGAGGCCGTGGCTTCCTTTGTGCCCATGACCCAAAAGTCAGTCGGCTTGTAGTCCTTGACCGCGTCCTTTTTCGACCCCAGCCCGACAACGTGCGGGCCGAACTGGTAGACAACTTCGTAGCCGAGGGGTTTCAGGGCCGCGAGGTACACCTCGAGGCAGGCTTGGAATTTGTCCTCGGGGACATGGAGGCTGGTGTGGTCGATGGCCATATTGCGGACAGATGCTGCGGAAAGAATGGGTTTCGAGTGCTGAGAGTTGCGACGGGGGATCATCTGGCAAACGATGGAGAATATATGTACCGCGTTGAAAAGACCACACAACGGCGCTCGGCGTCTTGAAATGTCCGATTCATGGTGTAAAGCTTAATATGGGAGGCGGAGCGTGAAGTCCAGCGCTCCTGGCAAATCGTCACGGTCGCGGCACAGCAGGGCTGCATTGGTGGCGTTTTACCGTGAGTTTATCGCGGGGTTGACAAAATAAAGTAGACACGACCCGGTATTTTTATCTGCAGTTGGACTGGCGATATTTTGTACCCGCGCCGCGTCCCGATCACGGTGAGCTGGGCCTGCATCTCCTAGCCGTGAAAAGTAAAGCTCGCAGCTCAGCCATTACCGTCCTCCGTGCCGGGATAGAGCTTCCTGCATTTGGGTGCGCCCAATTTCGGTCTCCCGCGTTTCAAGTGGCACTTGTCAATATCATCTTTTCATCTTAAAGCGTAAGATTAATAATTATATTATGCTAATCGGAACAAGTACACATCTCTGCTTTCCGGTGAATGCCCATGCTGAAACTCGCTTCAATGAATGTGGCGAATGTGGCGAATCGCCGCTTCCTTCAAGTCGTCAACGTTATCAGGTGTTGTCCTTGTCCTTGGGGTCATTTTGGTGTGTTCCCGACTCTGTCGAGCGTCCATTCATGTCATCCTCAATCTTGGGCGCTGGGCCGGCTTGAACGTCCGATGTCCCTGCTTCCGTTTCCACCTCTTTTCCCTTGGCTTTGGCGGATGATGGCCCTGCCTCTTCTGGCACAGGCGGCAGTACCGAGTCTGAGCTGACAGATCTACTATTGCGGCCCGCGAATCGTGCTCGTGGCGGTAGCTGAGGAGTCGGGGACTGGCTTTGCGGTGGTGCCATTGGCATCTGTCCCGCTGCATGCTGGTTCATGTATGTTGCGGGAATCTGAGGTCTGTCACCACTCTCGCCATACCCATCTTGGACCAGTTTTTCGTCTTGTGCGGGATTTCCATATGTATACTTTGCATGGACGCCCAGCAACTCCATGGGATATCGATAGCGCAAGCCTCATTGTCTCCAAAGTGAGAACTTCTGGCTAAACGTTTTCTCCTGCGACTGCGCACGCAGTCGCTCCTGGTCTTCCTCATTCCGGGCTGGGATATATCTGGTCAGAAAGATGGACGGGAGAAACAGCAAGATCCACGATATTGTGCCGCCTCGGAGCGCCCCCTCGCCGGACATGAGGCAGGTAAACCAATGGTAAGATTCCAAGAACCCAAGGAGAAAAACAGCAGGCAGGACAGTGAGGATGATTACCCCCCAGTACGGGGTATTGCCACAATTGCTCCAAGCACAGCTCCTCGGTATATGACGAACCTGGTTGATGTTGTTACCACTATCGTCACCATTGCTGGGCCCGCCCTTGCCGTCGCTTGTCGGTCTGGGAGTTGAGGTTGGATTTCTGCAGTCCTTAATGTAGGCCCTGTATATGTAACCAACAGTCGCAGCGGCACCAGTGGGACGAGAAGTGCTTGCCAAGAATGCAGAGACCAAGGTGTAGGTATATGCAGTGCCATCGTACTCAATTGTAGTGCTGATCGTAGTTGCCGACTTGATGGAGACCTGGTCAATCACTTCCTCAGGTATCAAAGCCTGGTCGCTAGTTGTGACTGTAAAGGGTGTCGGGCAACTCGAGGGTGCCGTAAGCTCCATGGTCTGGAAGAAATCGGTGCTCGTAAAATCCGTCTGGTTATAGTCACGCGTAGAACTTGTTAGATCCGAAGCGGGGATTGCTCCCGGCGAGTAAAACCGCTGGACATACACCACGTCATCTGAGCTATCGCCAATGGCGTAGGTATGGCCGTCGTAGTAGGAACTGCTGCTTGTCGTCGTGTAGGCCTTGATTGGTGTGGCGATAACAGTAATGGAGGGTTTCATGGTGACGGGAGTATAGTGAGTGTTCGATGTGGTAATGGCCACAGTTCTGTCAGCATACCTATTCGTGTATGTGGATCGCGTGACGGTCTGGATGTAGACTCTTGTGATAGTCCACTTGGCCGCGTTTGCTGTGCTCGCAACCAAAATTGCCAGCCAAAGACCCTTGGTGGAAGCCATGGTGATGACGGTTCGGACCCTTTGCCAGTGTTTTGGGCGATGGGATGGAAGAGTAACGCTGGTAAGAGTGTGAAATGTTGAGAAATTGCCCGCGAGTGTTTTTATCTGTCCCTAGGGGGAGGCTCAAGGCCTCCGGATCCCTGGCGCCCATCGTGACGATGGCGGCTCGTGAGTAGGACTAGCGAAATCTTTCCAGCCCTCTCAGACCACTCGGTTGACGAAGCTGAGGTCTAAATGAACGACGCTCGTGGACAAGGCCATGGTGGTTTGGATGGTTCCTCGGACCGTGCCTGAGCCAACATGGATCATGCCGGGATTGCGACGGGCTTAGTGACACCTAGAGCAAGCGGACTTTGAGTCTCAGATATTAGCCGCAAAATACTCCGTACGCCGTAGCGATTTTGTTCTTCGGAAGCACGGGGACCGCAATTTCGGCTACATTCGAGTCGTAGCCCTCGTCGAGTTGGTGACGAGTTTAGTCATGGACGGGTCAGGGACAGACCAGACCATACAAAGTGCAAGAGCAAGTGGATCCTGCCTCATCGCGGCTTCCCTCTTTATGAAATCGCGACGTCCTTCCGCGACCGACATTGAACCAACCTCCAAGTGCATCTTGTGTCGCGCCAACAACAAACTCCATCTGCTCCAGTTGGCTTCTCATTTCGCACAGAGCCAAGAGCAATTCCAAAGCGGAGCCCTTTGTCATTTGCCAACAAACACGGCCGACCCGTCACGTTGTGCATACGCCTCGCTCGCACAAGCATCATGCATGGGAAATTGTGCATTTCACCCTGATCAAGCCAGTAGGCTTAGGCACGATAACGGCTCTTTTGTGCCAACGTGACCGATTCTTTCTGGGACATGTAATCAGACCGTGCCTTTATTCAACTCGAGTGAGTCGCGACAACATTCAGCCCAAGTCGCACAACAGTTGCCTCAATGTACTCCGTACGGAGTACATAATGAATGCTGCCCTGCCTTCAAGGCTCCTGAATTCCAATATCGTAACCGAGGTTCCGGATTCGGCGCACCACATTATTGTGGCCTTGGCTTTCGTGCAACCAAATGATGAGTCTCCATCATGCCGTTGTCTGGCACAGTTTCTGCCAAGAAATAGATGGGCGACGTAACTCTGCTATGCAGAATACGGAGTTGAATTGGCGGAAACACTGTGTCTCTGTCTATTGGCAGTAGGTCGCGATGCCCTGTACGCGACTGGGGTTTCCTCTCGAGATGCGCCAACTGTCTGCTTCACCAGTTTAGTGATGATATTGTCCTTCCGCGACTAGAGCTCCATACGCATCTGGGCTGGAATCGGTCCTCCAGGAATCAAAAAGTCATAAAAAGGTCTCTGGATTGACAACCATAAGTAACCCGCAGCTAGATGCTTGATTGCTTCCTCTAACCGCTGCTCATCAACATGTTACATGCCAACCTCCGACGCCATGATGCCTAGAAGCCTTACCACCTATGACCCGCAAGTCTCAAGCATTTCCGCATGGCCAGAAGCATGAATACAAGCTTGACAAGCCTTCCACTCTCCAACGCCTACAGGTAAGAGAAATAGCTCGGGCGAATACGTGGATACTGACAAGTTCGGTAGGTATTTTATCGAGGACTTTCGATCTACTAAAGACTTCCCTTCCATGAGGGTCAATAGATTCTCAATTAGGCCAGAACATTGCCACGCCTAATGATTCATCTGTCAAAACGTCACCGTGTCACCCTCATCACAGTTGGTTACCGCAACAAATCATATATCTATCCAAGCAATACCCAACTACACATAGCTGGGCCGATGAGCACACGAGTGCTAACGAGCTGGTAAAAACTTCCACACGCAGAAGCTGTGATGATTGTGACATTTAGGATGGAATATCACAATCATGTCTGCGCTTACCATAGCCCCAAAAATGCACAAGCTATCGAAGGCTACTTGAGTTATGGTCAAATTGGGCAGGCAGTCAAGGCGACAATCTCGAAAGACAGGACTTGTAAAGCACAGAAACGCATGTGTAAGCTGTCGCAGAGTGAAGAGCCGGAAGCCAGTTGACGGTGGCAGATGCAACGGGCTTGCGAGCACATGAGATTGGCATCGGCTTTCAACGAGTAATTCTGGCCGAGAGACAGGACAACGATGGTAGGCTACAAAGCCCCAAAAATATATGAGACAGCAGAGTGTTCCGTGTCGTTGAGGAATGTCGCTACAAAACTCCGGGGCGGTGCATCTGCGTGGATGAGATCAATTAGCCGAGAGTCAACGGGCAAGCTGCAGAACAACCGAGGAGTCAAAATCTGGGGCATGATGACTGGGGAAAGATTTCAGCATGGAAAATAACCGACAACAGTGGCACGCAGGGTGTATTGGTTTATCGGCTATGAGCCTGATACACTTAGCTCGTACTCAAAGCAATCAAGGTCAAGGCAAGCGGAGACTTATACTGACCAATTCGGGACCATTCACCGGGAAGACTACGCAGAGTAGACGGCACAGTATGTGGAAATATCGGCTATGGCCTGCGTCGCCGCATTCAAGAAACAAACCTCCTTGGTCACATATGCTAGTATCTGGTCAATGGCTGCAACCAAGTGTTGCAGGCTATTTCACAAGGGCACTATGCATTAAAGACCCAATATGCTGTATGTGGCTATAAACATTGCTTCTCTGCTCCGGTCAATTGGTGTTGATGACAGAATCATTGGCGAAAAGTCTTTTATCGGTCTAGCCGTATTGTTTCTCAAAAGCTGGGCACATGACTTACAGAGGAGACCTATCAAAGAAGCGTGCTAAAATCTAGTCATATGACAACAGCGAAGGGAGATATGCACAGACTCGCTCGGGGGACTGCTTAAGACAAAGCCCTCAAAGCTCAAAGGCATGGAGAGCGGCTGCATACCTGATGATAATATGTGCGACGAAGTAACACCAACGATTTTGACAATCGGAACTTCTCCTTACAAGGAGTACCAACGGTATTCGCTTTCGGGTCACCTAGTGCCAGATGTCCGGTGTACAAGAACGGTACAAAAAACGAGCTTTCTACAGAGTCAATTTCCTCAATAGTAGGCAAGCTGCTACCATATGCAGAAATAGACGGAAAAAGGCAGGATCTCTATGACGAGAGCTGTAACCGCCTGGTTCAACATTACTCTGTAGACGCGCGGCCACCTACAACTTAGAAGGGCCAATAAAGTCGGGAACAGCGCTTTACTTTGATCAATACAACGGCCTCGTCAAGGTATCTACAACATCCCATGGCGATGCCCGACCGAACGAGCCGTCTTATACCAATAATACGAATAATACTATCCAAACTAGCCCGATTGGAAACACATCCGGTCTTTCTTGTGACGTCAAACTCGAGCATCACAAGAATGGCAGAGTAGCAACCTCGGGTATGATCATGAAACGGATGCCGGTCAAAACATTGTAAGCAAATGTCACTACCAGCTTGAAACCTGCTTCGCCCTGAGGCACCAGACAAACCGGCCATATGGTTTCATTCCCGCGGCCAAACACTTGTTGCTACCACCATGGTTCCTGCAAGGCTAGGTACATACATATCCATTTGGGGGGGATGTTGGGCCAGGTCACGGATACCGTTGGGCTTCAGAGCCTTTCGAGTACGTTGTATTCTTTAAAAGACACTTTTATATACATGACGAGTTTGGGTTTTCGCCATCCAAGCGCTAATCAATCGCCACACATCTTCAGCTATTCCCATCGTTATTGGAATCCTTATATACATTACGTCACACAATTGATCGTGTCTGCAAGATTACGAGTACGTCTCTCTTTAGGCCTTGTACTCCCATCTGCTGCAACTACTGTCTTGAATCAATTCACTGCTCTGTTCAATTGCAGCTACCGACTAGGCTATAGATTCCATCCGCCATACGCTGTCATGAGTTACCTACCAATATGGCACCATGGCGTCAAATACCTCTTGCCTACCGCGGGGCATGAAAATCGACCAGTTCTGCATCAACAACACGCAGTTAACAGCCTCTGTCGGTACACAAGCGAACAAGCAAAGATGCAGATAATCAGCGGTGAGGAGACTGAACATGCTAGAACCCGTCTTCGGTGGCGGCTGCATGAAATGAACGTGTGTGGCTAGCTGCATCTTCCCTTTATGGAACATGCCGCCTCGGATCTTTCCACGGAGGAAGCTATGCCGTAATACGCAGCTTATTGGGCTTTTGCTGCGAGAATACCCAACGGTGCACAGAGGGTTTCATGTCGGCTTTGACTTGATTCACAACTCACATCTGACCATTACGTACGTCGACAGAAAAGCTGAAGAAAACAAGCAATGGCTCATTCACACCCCCGACCCCGGGACCTCAAATCTGTCTAGCCTGTTTCTACATGCATTGCATGTTGCTTTGCAGAAATGGGAGCCGCCAAAAACTGCTACGGTGGGCTCCAACCACAACAAGACGATCCTCTGCGCACTTGAGCATGCCGCCATCCAAGAGGGGAAAAATGGGCTATTTCGTCAACTGTCCTCGTGCCAGAAACTTCTCTTCCCTATCCCGGTGTTGCTATCGACGCTGCTGTCCCAATAATCCCCTGAACAACCGGCGCCGAGCCCTTGCGCACAAGCACCATGCCCTCATCTGAGAACGGCGCTGCCATCAAGGCTAAGAGCACGGTAAGTTGTTGGTTCTATCATGGATGGTAGTCTTAACACGTTGACTAGGCCTATTTGGCGTTTCACGGCTTCAAGGAGGAGAAGATGGTCTTTGATGCCAGAGTCAATGCTGTCTTCAAACCCGAGCTCCCGGACCAGCTGCGGTTGGAGCTTAGAATTCGCGAGACGTTTGTTGAAGCTACTCTGGACGCCAATGCTATTGCAGAGGCGGTATGGAACAAGGCTCAGAAGTTGACACCGGAATCCATTGTCAGAGTAACAGGCCATGTCCAACTGGTCAATGGGAGTTCCGGTGCAAACAAGGCCTACACAATAATCCATGTGACAAACTTGGACATCATTGCTCTGGCGTCTCCGGACCTGCCCACGTTGCGCGGCAAGGAACTCTCCGGAGTTGGGCTCGAGGAGCGGCTCGATCATCGCATTCTTGATGTGCGCCGCGCCGCCTCCGGAGCCATCTTCAAGCTCCATTCGGGCATGTGCCAGCTGATTGTCGAGTTCCTCTGTTCAAACGGCTTCCATTGGATTCACACGCCACGCATCATCACGGCCACCATCCCCGGCGACAACGAGTTCTTCCATTTGCCATACTTTGGCCAGGATGCATGGCTGGCCCAGAGCTCGCAGCATCACAAACAGATGGCTCTTTCTATGGACATGCAGCGCGTGTTTGAGATTGGACCCGTGTTCCGTGCTGAAGTCAAGTCGAGCAAGTCTACGAGACATATGACGGAGGTAGGCTCACACCCCAACCCTCCCCTCTGCCTCAAAACGCCCCTGCTCCCACGTTGTGATTGGGAATTAACTGTTGACCAACCATGGGAATCTAGTTCACCGTCCTGGATATAGCCATGGCTTTTCAGGACGACTACCACGAGGTGGCCGAGCTGATTGAATCCATGCTGGTGTTTGTCTTTCGGGGTCTTCAGGAACGCAAACAGTACAAACCGCTCGTTGAGATTGTTCAACATCTGTATCCCTGTGCCAGGCCGTTCCGAATCGGCCTGGATGAGCACGGCAAAGTCCCGCGCATCACCTTTCTCGAGGCCAAGCGTATTCTGAGAGAGGAGCTTGGTCTCGAATCAGACGACGGAAAGAACTTTACGTAAGTCATTCCACCGATGCCATGATGCATGTTGTGTGCTTTTTTCCCCAACTCCAAGCACTGACGGGATGCCTTGAGCGTGTAGCGACCAAGAAGAAGCTGCCCTTGGCCGGCACTTTCGCGAGTCCCCTCGTCTGGGAAGTACAGACGTCTTCACCATTGATCAGTATCCCGCGTCTATGCGTCAGTTCAACTCGCAAGCAAACGCGGATGCGCCGGGCTTCTCCAACACGTGGGATACCATTGTTGGCGGGCGGGAGATTTGCTCCGGCAGTCAGCGCATCAACTCGTATGACGAGCTGCGCGAGGCCATGCGCGCGGGAGTCTGTGGTCCGCCGCTGGACCCCGAGGTCGACAAGTGGCAGCCGTACCTGGCTGCATTCAAGAGCGGCATGCCGCGACATGGCGGGGGGGGGGTGGGGGGGGGGGGGACGGGGTGAACAGGCTGTTGCAGGGGTTCCTGGGGTTGGAAGATGTTCGTGAAGTCACACTATTCCCCAGGGATGTAAATAGGTTGAAACCCTAGGGGCTTGGAGGGACCGGCCGAAATACAGGAATGGTACTCCGTACAGAAGATCTCTAATCTAATCGATCTAGGGGCTGATTTGCACTCCGTAAATGCTGCCCGTTGCGAGTGTGGCCGTTTGGGTGGCTGGTAGGTACGTAATGAGAGCCCCCGGATTCATTACGGCGTACGTACTCCGTAAAAGTCCGAGAAATGAGACACGCTGTCCCTTGTGCCTCGTCGATTGGACCTCTCCATGCGTTCCACTTTCAATGCCATGGATTTGGTGCGCCGGATACGCCCAGATACCTTCGGGGCTTAGACACTCATGGCCAAGCAAAAGCCATTGCCATGTGTAGTATAACCACCTGCATACCTAAGATGCGTGCTATAAGCGACCGGCTGTAGTTGGACTGTCCCTCGCCTCTGCAGAGTGAGAGGATACATGTCATTATGCACAGGGAATCAAGGATCCTTGGATAGCCCACACATCTTGTTCGCGGCTGAGCGGCAGGTAGACCAGAGACATGCATGAAAGGCACACACCCACCTACACGAGCCGACAGTCAAGATCGGTCTACGGGGTACAAGGCTCCTCCCGCCCTTGACAAAAGCCATGCGGGAGGGATCCGACTTGCTGACATGGAGACGTTGGGTCTCTTCCGGCCCTCGAATTCCGGCGCTTATGCATATGCGGCCGGCCAGCCGTGTTTAATTCCGCAGATGAAGCTTTACCAGTGTCGACCGCAACTACGCAAGACCCAGCCTGAAGCAAGTATGTATTGTAGGTACATGTACGGAGTACAGAGTAGCAACGACAACATCTTCACATCTACTCGGCACTGTCCGGGCTACCAACACGTCTAGGTAGACTAGCTAAACCTTGTACGGCCGCAAAAGATAGATGATTCCGTTCCTCACCCTCTTGGGACCTGGTGGAGCGACGACGCGATGCACAGTCGAGTGCAGGCGCCCGCCAGATTGAGCCGCAAGCTCATCCGCAACGTTGATGAGGACGGTACCATCGATGACGGGGACCGTCTCCCAGTCGTCCGTCTGCTTCCCCTCCTTGTCGTAGATGGGTATCTGAGTCGTCACCTCGTCATACCATAGCAGTGTGGCGAGGCCGAAATCCGTGTGCCACGGGTGAATAACATGGCCAGGCTCATGCATGGGAGGCTTGTACAACAGCTTGAGTGCCGTATCGCTGGGGATGGCGGCATCATCGCTCAGCTCGGGGATGCGGATATCCAGGGCGGCACAGAGCTCGGCAACGACCGTCTGAATGGCACCGTGAAAGGAATTGATGGTGCGCGTGATGCGCTCCTTTTCTGGCTCGAAAGTGGCGGGTAAGACCCATTTGCCAAGTTGATACTCATCGCGCGCAATCTGATCAAGGGGTTAGTAGAGTATAAGACTGACACGACAAGACAGCTTTTGCCTACAAAGGCACACTCACCTCGTAATATTCGAACCCCTTGCCGGCATGATAACTACCAGTTGGAAAGGAGAAGCCGTCAGTAATAAGCAGGAGCTCATCGTGTCTTGACATTTTCTCTTACCCTCGCTCCATTCCCTCGCGAGCGCTCAGTGTCTTTTCGTTGCTATCATGGGGCAGATTGAAGAAGGCATGCCCGGTTTTGAAGATGGTTGGTATGTCCTCAAAGATGGCGTTCGTGCTGGGACCCCGGAGGTTTAGGTAAAACATGCCCACTGTTTGGCAGGCTGTCACTAGCTTCTGGACCTCGGCGGCATCTTTGTTTGCGAGGGCTTCGTAGTTGACTACGGCGAGAGAGGCCATCTTCTCAGGAGAAGACATGATGGTGGTATTGGGTGTGTATTTCCAAAGTACGACGAAAGGCAGAAATCGGGAATGGTCTGTGAGACTAGAGACTAGATGGAAAAGGAGCAACAGAAAAAGAAAGGAAAGAAAAGAAAAAAAGGAAAGGAAGAGAGGGGTAGGGGGATTGCCTGGTTTACAAACCGTTGCAGAACAGATGACGAACTATCTTGCATCCAGTTTCTTCATAGCCACGACCCATGTTGATCCCCCAAAGACTTGGTTGATCTGCAATCATGTATGACTGCAATGCTGTCACCCATGACGGCCCGCGATTCTTTGCTACAACATACATGCATGCTCGTGCTTCTCGGGGCGGCCTACTCCGTACTCGTTGAAACAAGGGATCCCAAGCATTGACGCCAAAAGCAATTGTGGAAGAGACCGGCGGGAAGCATGCATACGTACCAAGTTACTACCGCATTCATAAGACGGCACAAACGCCATCATGCATCTAGCCCAAAACACGACTGCAGTCTTGGAGAGTTGCACAATGCTTGGGACGGCCCCTTGCTGTGCCAACAAAGAACGAACCCCCATCAAGAGACAGGCTGAGACAAGACAGTAAGAAAGTACGGAACACAGCCAGCCACATGTTTGGTCTTCCTTGCTATCCTGTCCGCAGAGAATGCCAATCGTGTGATTTGATGTGCTGTGACATACACGACGCTCGAATTCTCGATGTAGCAATAAGCCACTTGGCCGCAACCTTTGTTTCTTCAGGTGCAACACTCGTCATAGTAGCGCAGTCCAGATAGGAATTCCAATTTTACCTCTTGCTAAGGCTTTCCTCTCTGTCAGCATTGTCGCCAGTATGGACTTGTCAGACACCTTTGTCGTCTTGCACTATCCTTTTGTCCTTCCCCTAGCTGTCTTATTGCCTGCAATAATTTACTGCCTGGGCTTGACCAAGAGAAAGGACTTTTCTGCATCTGCTAGGAATGCCCAAGTCCCCCAGTCCAAGGATGCGAAGATATCAAAGTCTACCACCAGGGATCCCAAACCAACACAATGGTACCGAAACATGTTTTTCAAGCTTCAGCATCTCGAAGACCACCCAGAAATCCTCGGGCCGGCGCGGGATGAGCTCTTGGCCATGTTCTCCCAGGGCCTTGCGCTCGCCCTGAAGACGCCACAAGACAGCATCCTCCGCATCGAACAGTACAGTGCCGAGAGCGTCTGGAGCTTCCTCGAGGACGAGCGTATACGGATTCTCGCCGAGTGGGCTAGTTATCTGGAGCGACGAAGGCAGGGACACGGCCCTGAGCTTTTCGGGACAGCCGAGGCCGCCAAAGCATGGCTGGTCCAGCAAGCGCCGGTCAAGTTTGTTGACGGCGCATGGCTTGGCCATATACACAAAATCACGACTCCATTTGCTCTTCGTGGAGTCACAAAAGATGCCTGGCAGGTCCTGTCGGAAGAGCTCGGCGACGGCGACCTGTCCAAGCACCACGTCCATCTCTACCGCAAACTTTTGGAGAATGTTGGATGTCCTCTGCCGGAGGGCCACAGTGCCGACTTTATCAATTTCTGCGACTGGGATGGAATGGGCAATGACGGCGCCTGGGAGGCTGCAGTGGCCCAGCTTCTCATCTCGCTGTTCCCCAACGAGTTCCTCCCCGAGATTCTTGGGTACAACATGCACTTTGAGATGGTCACGCTCAACACCATGCAGGCGGCTCACGAGCTCAAGGACCTCGGCATCGACCCTTACTACTTCCTCATCCACATTGCCATAGACAATGCTGATTCGGGACACACGGCCATGGCCACGCACGCTGTTACACGGTACCTGGACATGGTTCGCGCGACCGAGGGCGAGACGGCCTCGGAGCAGGCATGGAAGCGTGTTCAGGTCGGATTCATTTTGTCCCAGACACAGGGAGATCATTCATGTAAACGCGAAAGCCCCGCTGCTTCTACGATGACGATGGCAGGATCGGGACTTGCAAGGCCCAACATTCCCAACGTGCTGCTTGACCCTCTAAGCACTCAGGTAATTGACATCTTTAGAGCCAAGGCATTGGTATCGCAGCAGTTCCACTGCCAAAGCAGAGTTCGCATCGGGACACATACTCTCTCCGGGTGGTTGGACCCAAACAAGTGGAAACATTCGAATCCCCAGTACCAACTGGAACTCCTGAATGCCCTCAGCCGAGCCAGGCCGTGGATTGTTCCCGGAGCAAGCAACAAGAGCCTATTGATACGGGAGCTCTCGTGGGGAGGGCGCATGTTTGGCGCCTTCACCCACAACGAGGTGGCTGCTCTTTGTTCCTGGATCGACGCCCTGGGCCCCGAAAACACAGCTTCGTCATATTGGAGATTCACCCACAGAAAACCGCTGGCCTCAAAGGACGCCGTAGCAGAGCTCCAAGACCCGGTTTGCCATCATCCGTTTGTGTTTCCCGCCGGCAGCCACGCGGCGGCCACGGCAGACACGGCATCTCACGAGGATGACTTTGACGGCGAGCCGTGGAAAACCCAGCAGCCTTTGAACTCGCCCTCGACGGACCGACTACCAGACATCATGGCCCTTTGGTTCGCGCACATTAGCCTGTTGGAAAACACCATCAACGTGCCCTCCCGGACCGCATGCCAGCTCCATGCTAGTATCCTGCGCCTCCTCCGAGCGCAGGCCGGCTTCGAGGCGGAAACCGACGTCGTCGCCGGCATGGACGAGCTGAATCGGCACTCGCACACCAGCCTGATAGACGTCGGTCTAGAGTTGGCCCGGCAGGTCGGCCAGTCCACCCATGCCACGCCGGCATCCTTACAAGACGTCTTTGTCCTGGCAGCTAGCCGGGGCCAGGGCGAGGAAAGCGCCAGATTGGCAAACGACGTGCTGCGGTGGAGTGTGCGGCCCGTTGCGAATCTCGGCCTGCTGCTGGGTCTGGCCCTGGCCTTTGTCGAGTTCAAGAAGGCCATTGGGAGAGCGCCCGGGCTGCTGGGCCGGGAGAGTCGTCTTGCGCTCGAGGCTATTGTGGCAAGGGAGAAGACGAGTCTCGACGACTGTGCGCGGGAGCTGCGAAACACGGATGTGGAACAGTACAAACACCTAGAGAGGGGATTCCGGCTTGGCATGCGCTCTTTACAGA